CGCAAGAGATGGCTGAAATACTATAGGCTGATACCATATGATGGTAACAAAGTCGAGGCCAAGGCTTTCTTCAGGCGGCCATGATGCTTCCATCTGATGCGATTTTGTCTCGCCTGTTTGGCCAACAGAAGGGTCAACAGAAAGAGCGACAGTACTTGCTTCGTGCTTCCCACGGCGTCAACTACGTGCATCGAAATGCCATACCTCATAACTTGCTTTGCTGCGGGCATCTCTTGGCCCGTCGCTTCGTGCTGCTCTGCCAGGAGGAAGTTCTTTTCCTCGCAGCAGGTACTGGCTGGCCCTAATGCAGAACCCTTAATGATTCGAATAGGGTTTGTGGGTATATAATACTAAAATTAAAATAAGGAGCCTTCAAAATAGTATAGGTAATCATTCAGGCCCCTATATCAATACAGTCTATCCTGCAGTCCTTTGCCTGCAATTGCGTTGCGAAGACAACCCAAGGAGTCTTGACTTGGTCTCAGTCTGTGGGATAGGTATGTTGATTCTGTTCCTTCGTGCTTCAGCTGGGGCCTGTTCATGGCATGCAAACTGTGCTTCTTGCCGCTCGTCGCCGGATTTGGACGAGCTAGGGCATCAGCAATGTAGCGATGTGTTGAAGTCGAGGTTTATGGTGCAGAGCTCTTCTGCTGCTCTCCCTCGCCTTCAGCAGCACGTACCACAGCTTGTGCATGTCCTGACCATGCAGAGGCGCTTGGAAGGCTCAGATCGTCGGGTGCGAAAGGGTCGGCATGGCTATGTTTATCCTGTTGGCTTCTTGTTGACATCCTGGGTGTTGCCACTGTTCCAACTATGATGATGATGACGACGGCGGCAACGGCATGACTGTCACGATGATGACAATGGTTTCTAATGCCACCCTAGTAAAGATCGTAATCGGTAGCATCGCAATAGTGCTACATAGCTTTGAGCCGCGATGTGGTGCAATGCATATATGCCTCTAGTTTCCACTAATCCTACGCTCCTGGGGTGCGCATCGAACAATAAAGTCATAGTTTGAACATCAACATTCATCAGCGATCGTAGCCGTAATAGAAGAAGGAACCATATATGCGGTTAAGCCGAACGAAACAGCCACTGTCTGCACCATACTTCTGTATGTATATGCTTCATACTGTAACTTCTCTCAATCCACCGATCTCTGCTCCCCCTCCCCACCTCAAAGGATTTCAACCTCAGGAGCACAGCAGGCCAGGGATCTCCAGAGACCATGTTGGCCTTCGCAAAGCTGCAAAGCTTAGGGAGTACGCTGAAAGGTTGAGGAAAGTTTACGCAGCCTTTCAGCTTTGGAAGGGTTGATGAGTCCCGGGGCCTGCGGTTTTTACGAAGGCAGACACGTTGAGCGTGGTCTCTGGTGCAATCAGAAAGGTATAGATCCTAGTCTCCAGCGGGTCCGGGCGGCGGGGCTCGTGTCAGCGTGGGACCTAGCTCAAGCTCGGGGAGTGCACAGCATGGCCCAGCAAAAACAAGTTGGGGAAAACTAATCCCTATACTTCTCTCTGGCATGTTCCAGTAGACCTGCTGTGGACAAGCCTGCGAAATTTCTTGGGTTGGAACCTGGCATGCCTGGTTACTGAACCACCGTGACATAGCATTCAATGTTGACCGCTCTTATTCACATTGCTTCTCTTGAAACCACGATGGACAACGTGCTTCTCCGGTCGGGCAGTCTGCAAGAATTCGCAAGATTTCGGCCATACCATATGTCATCTGCAGATTGACAGATCCCAACTTCCTTGCCCTTGGACACCTGCATCCCTTGCATCGCCTGCTTTTGCAATGCATTGAGCTGTGGATCTCTTACTCCACCTTGCCAGAACTCCTGGCAGATCACAGCTTCGGATCTCATGAAAGATGATAGCAGAGTCGCCACATGATATCACCGTTTAGACCAGAAACCACGTCTGTGAAGCAGAAAGCACTCTTCCTTGTGAAGCACCTGACATCATTCCTCTCCTCAACCCTCCGTGAGTCCCCGCCCAAGCTGGACTTCCAAGACATAGGACCAAGGCCCAGGCACCCCTCAGCACCTTGAGAACAAGTTCACAGTAATCGCCCGCAACGACCCCAACATCTGACCAAGTAAGTGCTCACCCTGCCCTACGCAACATCTCGCGATTACATGATGGTACACTTGCTCTTGCGTCTGTACTGGCCGGCAGCACTCGCAAGCTACAGGCCTCATTTTGCCCAGCCAAACTCGAGAGATAGAATACTGGATATACGCACATCAGATTACGCTTAGGGTTGAACATCCGCCACGGCAACCGTGCTGCTGCTCGAGATTGAACGAAGCATTGCATAAGCCCCAAACCTTACAACTTACATCCAAACCTTCCATAACTTAACTTTCCCCTATCCCCCCAGGTACCTACTATATAGGGCCTTAGGGGCTCCCAGGTACCCTATATAGTAGGTACCTGGGGGGTTAGGGTTTCCCCTATGTCCTCAATGCTACGCCGCGGCAGCCGCCGGGCTGCAGCACAGGCGCAGCGGAGAAATGAGGCCATGGCCCTGAGGGCAAGTCGTCTTTACCAGGACTGGGAGATTTGAGGTTTTTTTTGTCACATCTTTTCCACCTGCCTGGTTAAGTTAAGTCGAATGCCATGTCAGATTGGAGGTTTTGGGGCTTAAGGTTTTTAGTTTTTTATTAACACCTCTTTTCCGTCCGCCTGACAAGGTGTCCAGAATACCATGCCATAGGGCTTGGGGTTTATAGGGCCTAGGATTTGGAAGTTTCTGCGAGTCCACAGAGTTCTTGCGACCTTGGGGAAAGTCTGAAGCAACGAATTCTTGCGGCCTTGGGGAAAGTCTGAAGCCACAGTGTGAAGAAGTATCTCTGCAAATGATGATTGCGAGTATGTTCACCTCCACGGAGGCTCTGAGTCTTCGACAACGCCAGCTGAGTCAGCTGATCATCCGGCTTCTGCAGCAGCCATGCGCTGCTTCCAGAGCTTGCATCTACTCATGAACTGTGGAATGTGAGCCCAAGGCCAGTAGACAGGCTGGAACAGGCTGTGGTAGAGGACTAGGCAGCAGCAAGAGTTCGAATTCAACATGCCGACCACATCACAGATAAAACAACACATACAATGAAGAAGCACTGTGAGAAGTGTTTGAAGGACGGCTCGTCGCAACCTCATTGGTCGGGATAAGCCCAAAGCCTAAACGGCCCTAAATCCTAGATTAGCCCTAAACCGGTCTATTCCCAAACCCCCAATACCCTAAAGCGTAAAGCCTAAACAACCCAAAAACCCAAAATACAAAACCCCAGGAGCCTTTTTGCCGGATGTCGTAGCCATCCTCAAGTCATTAGCACTGCTTGACTCGACGGTCGCTCCGCTCCGTCCCACCACGGTTTTCGCAAAAAGAGACTGGAAGTCTAGGCTTTACGCCCTGAGCCCTAAACCCTAAACCCTACAAACACTGAACCCTAGAGGGATGAAAGTCACATTCCCCATGTTTTACCATCGCTTAGTCCTCGCCGTATGCCTTGCCATCGTACCTGCATGCAACGAAGCGAGAACCCAGGTACTATACTATACTCTAGTATGCTGTACTATATGTAGTATAGTATGGTATAGTATAGTACATAACATGATATAGTATTAATATGTATTAATTGTAGTATATGGTCATCTTAGAGAGAGACCGCTTCTCGAACCGACCGTCTCAGCAACATTATCCGTCACCGGAGTCAAGTGACTCCCGGCACGCGAGCCGGCCATAGATTCAGCACAGGCCCACTTCCTCCCAGACTGGGATTCACTCTCCTCGGCTGCTGGGGCAGTAGCACCTGCAGCTGGAGTCTCTACTCTACGCTATGACAGTTCAAGTGGCTCGGCTGAACCTCGGAGGACGTGGAATCAAGTTAATCGACACATACACACTGCTGCACTTCAGACGGTTTTAATTCAGGGGGTGTGCTGGAGGTTGAAAGGCCAAAAGGTCGGGGTCCGATCAGCGCGAACAGTGATGGAGCCGAGCAGACGGTCAGCTCGGACCGCTGGGCAACTATCAACTGCCGATCAGGTGCAAGGACTTGGGAGGGAGAACCGTGAGGATGTGGGATGGTTGTTGTTCGACGACCTTGCGCATTGTCTGTTTGCGAGGCAAGGACGGCTTCCCAGCACATTTCCACACTGCGACGATTCCAGCGCAGCAGTCGAAACACAATCTACCATCTCGACGAGACCATGCCTTCTTGTCGCCGCGCTGCCTTCGTGACGATGGTCTTCAACTCCTGCAGGCCGTCAACCGTCGCGGTCATTTTCATGCCCCATACTGCTGTTGGCTGCCACTGCATCTGCTGCTGTTGCTGTTTCAACTGCTGTTTCAATATGGTGGTGATGATGATGACCACGATCATGGGGGGTCTATGTGACGATGAAGATGGCGATGACGAAGACCGTGAGCATGTTGATGCTCATGACGAACACGCAAAAAATGCTACTACGTACGACTACTACATCGCCGACACTACCACGATCGCTGGCATACCTACTGTACACAAACTGACAGGCACGAACGAATGCAAAACAAACACCCAACTCCACACCATGTCGATGCACTGCGGCGAAACTGACAGGTGCAGGAATGAGGATCCAGTTGGTTCTTATAACGGCAGGAAACGATCCGATGACACAGCAGCTTAGCAGCAGTGTTACAATAGATACGATCGTCTGTTGGCTTTGGTCCGACAGCCTAAACTAAAACGCTGCAGGTCCTCGAAGCCATAGCATTAAGTATTTCCAACCAATGCCTGGCGGAGAACGGTTCTTGAAACCTGGGGTTCGTTTGAGGTTGGCAAGGTGCGTGTGTGTACGTATATATACGTATATATGTACATTTCAGACATAATGCTTTCAGAACAAGCGCACAACCAAATGTATGCACGCAACTCAGTCGCACTGTATGTGTGCATGCATGTATGTATGTATGTATGTATGTATGTATGTATGTATGTATGTATGTATGTACATATGTATGTGTGTGTATGTGTGTATGTATGTATGTATGTATGTGTGAATGTATGTATGTATGTATGTATGTATGTATGTATGTGCATGTATACATATATGTATAGAGAGAGATATCTCTGCATGTGTATGTACACATATGTATCTGTTGTGTTTTGTGTTTGTGTGTTTCGATCCACTAGCAGAGACTTCTACGTATACATACCAGCATTCACATGCATGCGTACGTCCGTGCATGCATGCATACAGAGAAATCCATCCATCCATCCATACATACATACATACATACACATACATACACATACATACATACATACATACATACATACATACATACATACATATATACACACATACAGTCATTCGTGCCTTCATGATTGTGTACATGTATAAACATACATATTTTGATAGACAGGCGGGTCGAAGATAGACAGACATATAGATGGACATATATATATATATATACATGTATAGATACGTGTAAGTACACATACACACACATGCGCACATGCATACGCACATACAAACATACATGCAAACATACATCCATGCAGACAGACAGAGTGACAGACAGACCGACTAAACCGGCAAATGTATTCACACGCAGGGTCTGGTCTACTACTGCATCCTGCATACCCAGACGCTTCGCGTGACAATGTTTTGCATCCCCTTAAACATCCCCGCAACCATAGAGGAACATCATACACAACCTTTAAAGGACAGGATCACGCTGACCAAAGTAAAATGCCTACTAAATGGTCCTGATAGGAGCAATGAGGAATCCAAACCCTTAGACCTCCAATTACCACCTCTTCTGCTCTGCATGGCGTGGAGGTGGTAACGCTAACTCACTAAGTTGGGTTGAACAACAACATTCACATGAGTTGACACAGGCACTCAAATGCTTTTCAGGTTTAGGGTTCTGCAAGCCTTATCAGACTCCAGGCACAATGTGAGGTCAACTTGTCGACAATTGAAATCAGACATCGAGAGCGACGGCCTGCATGCTGACCTATGATGGATGTGTTCACAAAGTAGGAGGTGCCCTGTGGCTGAGCCTACACCATGACATGCAATTGCGCCGTGTGTTGTCCGAAGGCGAAACCTTTCTATATCGAAGATGCCATATGCATCGGTCTTTCGAACTGTCCAGCTCTGCACCGAGCTGCCTGTACACTGCCAAACAATGCACCAAGCCACACCCGAAGAGGCACATCCGTACAACATGGCAGTTGAAAGTGCCTCCGCAGAGGATGGAACATCTACTATCGAGCTTGTGACACTCTGGCACAGGGAGTCCAGTATCGGGCTCTTGAATCATCCGCCTTGCCGGCGGCTATGCCTACTCAAAGCTCCTCGTTCAGCTTCCCTCGGTAGGTCGAGTCCTCGCAGGATGTGCCAAAAAATATGATGTGGTTTTCCTTCGTATAGCATTGCGCCTCAACATGGTGCATCATGTGGCCTGGACTGCCCTCTAAACCCCCAGCGTGTCCTTGAAAGGCTTCTCCAGCTCTAGCTCCCCAGAATCCTCGATCTTGCACTCCTGCTACCATCACGGTGCAGCTTAGTGGTCTGACAACTGAGGCCCGAAGGTAACAAACTGGAGGAACCCATCGAGTAATGCCTGCGAGCCGGAATGGACCGTCGGGAGATTTCAACACTCGAAGCGTCGCAGCCTTGAGCCCACCCTAAACGTCAAAGCCCATACTGCCGTCATTCTCACACACCCGAAACCACAGAGCTTGTAAACCCTTTTCGCCAAGTCCTCTGCAGGTGGCGTGCCGTTCTGCTTCTCGATCTCCCTCACGAACTTCATGCCCTCAAGGATGGTCCCGAAGACGACGTGCCGACCTAAGCAGGCGTAAACATGTGAACATTGCGGATCCCTTTCTTGGAGTCATGACTAAACAAGAAGCTTTGACCACCGTAGCACTGCTATTCGTCAGCATGGCACATCCTTTAGATTGACGGCTAGAAATGATTTCGTACGGGCTGGTAATTCGCATTCTCTCATGGCTTGACGGTGGCTGATCAGGAGCAAGGTGCAGTTCAGGGCGCAGACATGTCCGGAACGCACGAGACATGCTTCCAAGCCCAGCATTATCTGCGCTTTGACACCTGAACACCGCAGATTCCACGCCTAGAGCTCTACTTGGATCTCAGCCTCACGCCATCCAGGTGCGGGGTGGTCACAGTGGTAATGAAGAACTGACTGCCATTCGTGTCCTGCAAGGGGAAAGGGTTTCGAGTTTAGGTATGTTGGGATATGCAGCTGCAGCCTCTCCAACGGGTTCAGGAACTCTCACCAAGCTCTTGTTTAGGATGCTCCTCAACTGCTTAGTCGGTTTATGTGTAATGCACAACAGACTAGCAAGATGACATCCTGCAGGCGATGTGACTATCATGCCACGGCAGAACAACAGTGAACAGTCAGGTCACAGGTCAGCACCGTGCCATTACCGAGGGTTGCAACATGTGTTGGAAAATACCTGATTCCAAGCGAAGTCATGAAACTCGCCAGCTTTCTCCAATCCGGTGTCTTACGACACTCGTCGTACATCTTCTTCTCTGACGGTCGAAGCCACCCAGGAACTCCAAAACAAGTCACCCGGACTTGCCACTTAGAGGACATGACGGTAGTAGCAAACAGTCACCGTCAGCATCGGAATCACAAGGAGATGAAGGGTACCAGTCATGTAACATGCTGCCATAAAAATGACAGTCTCAAGCCGCTTAAGAGGGATTTGAATAGCAAGCCAACAGCCACAACGGCCTGTGAGGAGCCCGAGCCCTCAGAGCCCCTGCCATGGCCTTCCCGGCGTTTGCCATCGAGAGGAGACCTGACAGTTTAGGGTTTAGGGTTTAGGGTTTGGGGTTTAGGGTTTAGGGTTTAGGGTTTGGGGTTTAGGGTTTAGGGTTTAGGGTTTAGGGTTTAGGGTTTAGGGTTTAGGCTAATAAAAGCCCACCAAAGGAGACTCCGACAGCCTTCAAGTACAGTACAAGCCCAAAAGTTGGAAACCCAATAGCCTCAATCCTTAAAAGTAATGTAAAGGGAATTCCAGCACTAATTGTCCTTAATCCGGTTTCCAACATTTTGGGGTTCACTATAGGTAGGGATTGAAAACAGGGTTCCTGGACAGGGACTCTAAGTTCTACCGGCTGTAGCGCTCGAAAGGTTTCTTCTGCCTTCTTGGCGGTGGGACAATCAGGATGGAGCCATCGAGGCTTCAAAGAGAGAAAGAGAGAGATACATATATATATATATATATACATATACACGTACATGTATGAATGTAACGTCAATGTGTTTTTGTATGTTAATACATTCGCATACATATAAATGTGAGCACGCACATTTCTCTCTCTCTCTCTATATATATATATACACGTATACATATGGGCCCGAAATACCAGCATCAGCGCTGGATCGTCGATGGCTCAGTGCCTAGTTTGATTGCCCATGCCATGGGAAAGGGCACGCCCGAGCCGATAGGCGGAGATGTGATCATGAAAGCTACTCTGCGAGGGCATATCTCTTTCGCGCTATCCGTGCTCCTGCCGTTTGGCGCTGTCGCGTTGAAGGCCCTTTTCGTGCTCCTGGAGTGAAAGTTAGGATCTTACCTGAAGGACCGGAAGCTGGAAATCAGAGGATTGGCATAGTTGTCATTACAGCAGACCGAGCCGATCCTGTGGGCTGGGGATTGGGAGCCAATTCCTTTCGGATTGCATGTTGCCGATCGTGGCCGATGCCTCTTTTCTGACGTAAGTGACCTGCCAGGAGATGGTCAGTGGCATGATCGCCCTGTCATTGGGAACACATGCTGCAAATACCTCGGCTGTGCTTGCCGGGACCTTTTCTGCATCCAACCTGATGGAAAGATGCCTTCGCACGGGCTGATCGGTGGTGAAGACTCTGGCATCTTCCAGACATGTGCCCTGCTGTTCAATGGTCGGTTTCGAGCCAGCAGCCGCCCATGAGGCACGCCACCAGACGACCGATTGCTTTCTGGATAACATTGAGGCCGTGGGGGCCTGCATCAGGGCGATAGGTCAAGCGGTTCTCCGCCGACTTCGTTGCGGACGTTGATGACAGTCCTGCGTGCTACTGGTTGTTGATCCTGGTGGTGTTTATTTGGATGTTGAGGATTTTGCGGCCACAACGTCAGGGCGACGTTTGAGGATGGTCGCATGGCTTCCGCAATTATGAATGCGGCGATCCAGGACACGGCGTGTTCGTTTGGTCCCGGGGTGAGTCTGAGCTGGCTACGTCCCTTGAGTCATCCCAGCCTCGAGTTTGAGGGCAAGTTTCGCTGGAGGCTGTGTTGCCGATGTGCGGGCATGCGCAGCCGGACACTCGAAGATTAGTGAGAAGGTGCAGTTGCAGGCGCCCACACTTTCAATTTTTGCTTGTTTGCAGGACGTGACCTGGTGCATACGACTTTTCTGCTTTAAGCTGGTCGGGTTTTGGTACCTCGCCTTCCCTGCTACTCCTAGGTAGTCTGAGTTATATGATGCTGCCTTCATTCGTTTGGCATGCGTACAGGGCTAGACCCAACTATGGCGAAACTGTGCGCCACCCTGACGAGTTTTTCAACATTGGGACACATCAGGAGTCTCTTTCTTGCTTGGATTCTACATGTAGAGCTCTTCAAAACAACTTCTCAGTCGGGGCACTCCTACAAAATCCATGGCTTTGCGCCCTGAAGAACTGGTACTGAGAGCAGCAACGATGGAACACAGTAGAGCCGACAACGACGATCATGAGCACAAGTGACGTCTTAACCAGAAATACAGTAATTCAGTATTCGTCCCAAGCTGCAGTAAGTCCAAGCTTAAGCATACTGAGAAGAGCCCAAAAACATTTGTAGTACTCATAAGAACAATGATGATTGTACTGCGGCTCACATGGGTATGGAGGCGAGGCTGCCAAGTCAAGTCTTGTAAGAGCTCTTATAGTTCGATTGAAACGCCTATTGACCAATGGTCAAGGAATCTGACTAGCGGAAACGCTGTTTGCAGAACCCCCCTTCCATATGTACAAATACATCATGAAGGGCTTTGAAAGAATCCCGCCTGGCCGCTTGTGCTTCAGCTTGAAGTTCTCGTCTGCGAACTTCTCACCTGGAAAGTCCGAGCTTTCAGTGTGTCGTTCTTGCCTGCGCAAACTTGCTTCCTCTGGCATTTTGCTTTTTTCTCCCGGTGTCCGTAAAACCCCAGTGGTGTGCTCCAGATCAGGTTCTTTCGTTGGCATCCCCATTGCGATACTGCCGATAATCAACAATACCTGTAGTCTCCATTGTAGTTCTTTTTTTGGTTTAATCAACTATATATTAAGGATTTTATAAGGCATCCCCAAGGAACTACAATGGAGACTATAGGTATGAGTAAGGGGCACACCATAGATGGACTTGCCACCCGTGCCGTCGCCCTTGGTGAAGTCGCCGCCTCTTCGCACATTTGCCACTGTGAGTTGGGAGTAGCTAAGGGTAGATACGAGTAGCCTGCTTTTCTAAACTCTAAACCACTTTGTGTATATCGAACAATACCATGCCCTGCCCTTGAGGGTCGTTTGAACACAGCTGGCTCTGCGCAGCAACGTCTGCTGCTGCTGCTGCTGCTGCTGCTCCTTCCCTCCTCCTCCTCCTCCTCCTCCTGAATACTGGTGCTAGTACTTCCGCGACAGTGAAACCTGAAAGTGAGAATGCAACGCATGTTGGGTGCTTGTGGCCAACCCAAAGCCCTCAAAAGTAAGACCAAACCTGTCCAAAACTCCTAAACCTTCCGAAACTCGGACAACAAGGATGCCCGAAGCCTTAGAGCAAAAAACAATCCGAACACCCCCCCAAAAAAAGCGCGGATGACGCATGGTCCGATGCCCCTTTCCGCAGGAATCCAGGCCTTGGATCATGAAGTCCTGCAGAAGAGAGCCAGAGAACCGAATAGCCCTTAATCAAGGAATATACCATGAAATCATAATATTGAGGCCCCTACAGTTTAGGTTTTCTGGGGACGTTGAGATGTACGAGCGCTCGGAGAACTCGCGAGACTGATTCGATCGAGATGCTGGTTATGATCCTGAGTTGTCGACGCCAGCCCTGAAATGCAAGGCCTTTTCCGACGCCTTCACGCCCCAAGTGAGTTTATGACTTGACTTGCTGCTCTGTGCCATTGCGAAGTGAAGTGGCCTCTTGCCACTTGTCAACGTGATGCAAGGAAAGGCGTCATAAACACTAAACTCATTCTTTTTACAACGGATCTCATGACACGTTGACCAGCGCAATGACCCCACCCCGTAGAGGGTCTCTGCATGGTCAAGAATCCACAAAACAGCGACCCTCTTGGGGTGAAGAGCCGTGTGGCCTTCAAAACGGCCTCCACGAAAACCTGCACAGCCCAAGGTTAACTTGGACTGTGTCTTTTAAAGGCCTATACGAATTGAAATCAGGGTGTCGACCAACCACATACAGCCATGGGTGATCAATGTAGCTGGGACGACGACATGTTCCTTTACATGTTGGAAAGCGCGACCAGTCTTGACGGGCTTAGCGACTGTTGAGTCCTACATTGCAAATGTACCTCTTGCCGCTCCACCAAGCATACGTACACTCCCGTACACGAAACCAGCAAAGTATAGATACCCATACCCCAGAAAAAAGCCAGGGTAGAAGGCAGCGCCAAGCTCTCACAGCTTGGACACCAGGAAGGTGCTTGCCTTGGGATGCTTCATGGGCCTTTAGGGTTTAAGTGTTCCCAGGTTGAGGCTTAATCTTTAGCGTTGAGGGCTCGCGTATGCGAACTGATCTGGGTTAACGGTGCTGGTTGATTGTATATCGGATCTATATTTCAGAGGAGTGCCCAGCTATTTCTTGCGTAGTGAGGGTTCTCGAACTACTACTGTTCGTTTAGTCCTTGCTCTGTTACTACCTGTAGTCTCCATTGTAGTTCCTTTTTTTGGTTTAACCACTTATATGTGTGTGTGTGTATATATATATATATCAAGGATTTTATAAGGTGTCCCCAGAAAGGAACTACAATGGAGGCTATAGGTACCCTTGCTTTCACTGCTAGTCTGAAGTGAATCGCAAGTTGCGACCTTCAGCTGCTCTGCAGCCTGCTGGACCATCTCCTCCACGATCTGCCCTGCAGGCTTCACATCCTGGCATGGCCCGAGGTTGGGAGTTTGGATCACTTGGAGCTCAAGGTTTAGGGTTTGGGGTTTAGGGTTAAGGGTTTATAGGGTTAAGGGTTTAAGGTTCAGGGCTTAGACTTTGCTGGATTACTTCGAACGACTTCCTGTGCACTTCGGCACCTACCATGCATCAGACCCGCCGAAGCCCCTACACTCTATGATTTCTGTCAAGGTGTGCTCCTAAACCAATGCCTCTGAAAGCCCCAGTCAAACGGCAATCCTGAATTGAACGCCTGAAGCCCGACTAGACTTTAAGCCCTTGCCCCTAGGATCCCGTCTCTGTGTGTCTCTTCTCTCTCCCTCTCTTTCGCTACGAGGAGCAACCGAAACCCTAGACCCTCACTTCTGTCGGAGTCAGGGAGCCTCGATGGCTCCGGCACACTGGCCGGCCAAGAAGACGCCCCGCTCCCGGATCTGTCTCCGATTGAGCCTTGGAAATTTCGGCTTTAGATTTCAGACATGTGGGTTGTTTGGTAAGGCTTTTTTTTTGAGGGACGGGGTGTACCTTAAGTATACTCACCCGCACTTGTCAGCGTGACGGAGTTTTAAGTCGAGGTTGGTACGTGAGATCAGCGAACGTCGAAACACGAAAAATCGCAGGATTACATAGGGGCTCGGCTTGTCGTGGGGCTGAATGCTGCAGGACTGTAGGGACGGCTGCTAGTTGCATGTGGATTCCCGATCCGGCAAGCATTTCTCTCTTCATATTTACATAGAATATGAAGCGCATACTTAAGAATATATTCTTATGCAGAAGAAAAAGCTCAAAGGAGTGCAGGTTCAAACTCAGAGCAGGGAACCGAGCCTTGCATGAGTCGCAGCCTCAGCAAGAACCGCCGTGGGAAGTCCAACCGGCTGTAACTCCCGAACACCACAAGGCAAAAGGTACAACCACACGAGGTTCCCGGCCTCAACTCACTCACACCACCACCCCGCCCTACTCCTGGATTCTGCAAAACAGGGGCTTCAAGCCGTTCTTCTTCTCCTGCCGCTGGACAGATTTGAGTTCGCAATATCCCTGATTCTGCGCTTCGATTGGCTTAAGGTGGAGGGTGCTCAGATCTTATGAAGGACTTGGCAGCCTCATGCAATTTCATCAAACGCCGGCAGCCCAACTCGCATCTCCGTGCGCTAATCCTTTGACCATGCTGGCTTTTGGCATCACCAATGCCACCAGCACCACCACTAATGACCACAGCGACTAAGCCGATGCTGCCTGTGCTACGACGACCACGATGACGAGCAGGGCGACTACCACTGTCGCTGCTGCTGCTGCTGCTGCTGCTGCTGCTGCGACGACTACTGCTAAACGAGTACAACGCTGGAAATGCTACCAATCAGAATGCTACCAGTCAGTCATAGCAATACCCTGAAACTAACAGTCATCATCATCTTATTCATCATCATCGTAACCATATGATAATAACAATAACAATAACAGTAACAATAACAGTAATAATAGTAAAAGTAATAATGAGAACCCTTCATGTTTATGCCGGCCTCCTGGGTGAGAACTTCGGCCTGCTGAAGCAGGCCCACACTGGCGCCGCCTTGAGCTGGCTTAGGGGTTGAACCCTAAACCCTATAGTACCCTCAAAGATGCCTTACAGGAACCCTTATAGATCCATTTATACAGCCCTAAACCCTCAGGTTCAGGGCTCAGGGCTAACGGCTGAGGATCGACGCTATAAGGCCTCAAGGACTTTGGGCCTGCGAACTTAAAGCCTCTCCTATACATCCAGCGACCGACCGTGCACACGCTAAAGGCCGATATCTCGTGCGGCAATTTTGTTGATGTTCGGGAAAGCTTCCTAAACCCCAAATCCAAAAGCTGCGCCGCAAGTCCTAAAGCCAGGCACTAAACTCCCAAACCTAACTCCAAGACTACCATGCTGGACCACTGGACCGAAACTGCTCGCCTTCCAGGTCCGAGAGGTTCTCGATATCTTTGACCCACGGGGGCATGCCCGAAGCCTCCCAGCCGTGCTGTGACTGTCATCAGTTGCCCTGGATCTATGCTATTGAAACCCTCAATTTCGCGATGACGATGATGAGGACGACCATGACGAACACGACGGCAAAGAGCAGAAGGATATTGCCAGGACCAACAACAAACGCTTACTGTCTGCCGATTCAGAACATGAAGAAAAGCAACTACGCGAGCTTGCCCCTTCTTGATTTTAGTAGTGGTGACAGTAGTAGTAGTAGTCGTCGTCGTCGTCGTCGTAGTAATAGTAGTAGTAGTAGTAGTAGTAGTAGTAGTAGTAGTAGTCGTAGTAATAGTAGTAGTAGCAGTAGTAGTAGTAGTAGTAGAAGTAGTAGTAGTAGTAGCAGTAGTAGTAGTAGTAGTAGTAGTAGTAGTTGTAGTATTAGTACTAGTAGCAGCAGCAGAAGTAGTAGTAGTAGTAGTAGTAGTAGTAGTAGTAGTGGTAGTAGTGGTAGTGGTAGTGGTAGTAGTGGTAGTAGCAGTAGCAGTAGTAGGAGTAGCAGNNAGTAGTAGTAGTAGTAGTAGAAGACGTACTAGCAGTCGTAGTAGTAGTAGTAGTAGTAGTAGTAGTAGTAGAAGCCGTACTAGCAGTCGTAGTAGTAGTAGTAGTAGTAGTAGTAGTAGTAGTACTAGTACGAGTACTAGTAGTAGGTAATGGCGGTTGTGGCAGTTGCAGTAGCAGTAGCAGTAGCAGTAGCAGTAGCAGTAGCAGTCGCAGTCGCAGTCGTAGTCATAATAATTGTTGTTGCTGTAGCAGCGGTAGCTGTAGCGGTAGCGGTAGTGGTAGTGGTAGTGGTAGTGG